ATAAATAGAATAGTATATACATAGACCTGCAGAGGTACAATTTGCATGGTCTGTATTTTTTTTCAAAAATTTTAATGACCCGGCCCAGCTTTTTTTTTTAAAAAAAAGGCCCGGCCCGGATTTTTTTAAAAAAAAGGCCCGGCCCGGATTTTTTTAAAATATACTATATTTATTTTTTATTTTTATAGCTAATAATGGCTATTTCAAATATTTGGTTTTAAAATATACGGCCCGGCCCGGATTTTTTTTAAAAAAATTTTCAGGCCTGGCCCGAGTATTTTAAAAAATTAAAATAAGGCCAGACCCTAAATCCGGGCCGGGTCTGCAGGTTTCTAATATATATAAAAGAATTGAGAATAAAAGGTTACCATTGACATTGACCATATATTCTGAGTTTTTTTCAAGAGATAGAAGTCAGATTCTACAGGAGTGAATATATTACAATTGATGATAACTTGCGCGGCTAGACGGGATGAAATAAAGGCTGAAAGAGAAAGTGTAGCGGAGATCGGATACCGCTGCCATCTGACTTGCTAAGGAGTGTGGCTTGAAGCCATGATGAATATGAAAATTTTATGTTAAACATATTTTCTACTTGATTTCGGTTTCATGAGAAACTAGCAAAGTGCTGCTTGTAGATCAGTGTAGATCTAAGGGGGTAAAAGATTTTGGAAATTAATTTAAAAAAATTTTGATGTGCAGGAAGGTAATTAGATAATATGCTTAATTTAGACAAATTGCTGAGGGATTTAAATAGTTTCAATAGCTATTTCTCCCCTATATATCATCTAATTCTTGTCGATGACATGGCAGATATTGTCAAATGGATTAGATGTAGGAAACATATCTCACACTAAGCTGATTAAGTGAAAGACCTGTACTAAGTTTTTCGTGGATGGGATAGACAAGGTCGTGGAAAGGTTGATAGCAACAATGCCATCATCGAGGTATCAGGAATTTAAGGTGAGAATGAAGTTTGATTGAATTTGCTGAATTATTTTGTGATAAATGCAAAAGAGGGCAGGGCCTAAGGGGTGTTACAGCTTAATTCACTATTGAGATTTGATTATATTATTATGGTATTTTATCAATAGTTGGATTTGAGATATGATAAATGTATGATGTGTATTCTGGATATTTGAACAAAGTTGCAGGGATCAAAATCGAACCTAAACCGAACCATTAAACCGCTAAAAACCTGTATTTTTTATCGAACCTAAACCGCTAAAATAATATCTAGCCGAATCTGAACCGATTCGAGTGTGTAAGTTATTACTAGTCTATTGCAAAAATTTTATTTATATTCGAATTGTTTTAAATTATTATCCATCACATTTGATTGATAAGTGTCAGTCATAATTCTTATAAAGTTAAATATATTGCCATTTTACAACATTTTTTAAATATTTTAAGCTTATAAATTATAATGCCAAGAGAAAAATTAAATCCAGTATATAAATAATTTACATATAGTATGATAAATGACATATCAAAATGTAATATTATTGATTGTCAAATAAATATGATGGGCCATCATGGAGCAAATCTTGAGCGTTACATAAAAAGAAACCACCCTCTAGAATTCAATAAAATTAACAAATATCACAAAAAGCCTAATAAAATAAAAATTTAAGATGTCATCAAGCCAACAGACGATAGAAGAAGCATTAAAGGAACAAACAATATCAGTAAAACTAAATAAAAAAATAAAAAAGATGCTTGTAATGAGTTGGTCACTTTTAATGGCAGATCATTCAAATTAATCGATGATAGCGGTTTTAAAAAAATTATTGATCCTATATTAGAGGGCATGGGTAATATTAAAATTTAATATCAAAATATTAAATCTAATGTTGCAGAATTAGATATAAGTATTCGGCAAAATATAATCAAAGAAATAAATGGTAATTTATTACCTCTAAAAATTGACTGTGTTATTCAAGACAGGTCCATTATTGAGATTAATCTTCAGTATATTCAAAAAGCAAAAATTGTTCTAAGAACACTAGCAATGAAAGAAATTTTTAAACGGCCCATTGCAAAAAATTTACAACTCCTTTTAATAAAATTATTAAATGATTATGAAATCAAAACATCACAAAAAGACACTATAACAACTGACAATGGGGCAAGTATTATTAAGATGGTAAAATTATTTATGGAGAATAGTGATGATGACAATCAAATGTCTAAAAATAATGAAGAAGATATAATTTGAATGATGTTTCTACTAGTTTCACAAATGTACCTGATGAATTAATTATCAATCTTAATGATTATCAATATAAGATGTGCTTCTCATACCTTACAACTTGTGGTAGATCATGCATTAAAAAATTGCTCAGTTTCTAATATTATTATTAAAGCTCGTACTGCCTGCAAGAAGCTAAGGACAAAATCGATATCAATCCTAAAAAAATTAAACTTAAAAAGCACAGATGGTTATCAACCTATGACATGCTAGAGAGATTGAATGTATTAAAGGATCTGTGTGAGGAATTATCAGTATCATACAGTGAACTTTATTCTACAGCTTTGGAATGGGAAGCAATGATAGGGTGATAAATATCCTAAAACCAATTAAAGTAGCTACCAAGAACTTACAACCTGGACAGCTAACTTTAGGGGATTTTTATGGCTAAATGCTAAATTAGAAATTTCAATTTTCACTTCATCCTTTGCTGGTTCAATAATAGATGTTATGAATTTTAGAGAGAAACAATTTTTAAACAACAAGGCCTTTTTGTCATACCTATATCTAGATTTAAGGTATATTTTAAAAATATTATATTATATCTTATATAAATTTAATTAATAATTTATTTTCCTTTATATTTTTTCTATCTATTCATAAAAAATAATAAGATTTTTTTAATGATATTTTTAATTTTTATTATATAGATATCAAATGTTTCTGACTGAAGAAGAAAAAACCAAGGCTAGAGAGCATATTATTAAAATATGGCATAACATGGAATTAAACTTTGTTATAAGAGTGGAAGATTCTAGTGAAGGTGAATCAACGTCGGTTAATGTATCTTCATCTTAAGAGGATTTAGAAAGTCTTCTTAAAAAAAGATGGTAACAAGCAAAATCTGTTATAAAAATCGGAGAATATTAGAAATATTTTAATTAATTTTTCTAAAAAACCTATTAAATAAAAATATCAATATTTTAGACTTTTGGAGAAATCAGAGTAATCGATACCCAGAATTATGTAAATTGTTTGATATCATACTGGCAGTGCCGGATACCAAAGTTAGTGTGGAAAGATGTTTTTCAACAATTAAATTTATACTATCTCCTTTTAGATGTAATTTGAGTGATACGAATTTTTAAATATATTAATTGTGCTGCTTAATAAAAAATTTTAAGTAGATAAAGTTAAATATTGTTCATATTAAAATTAATCATTGATATTTATTTGTTATATTTTATAAATTAAATATTATTTTATAATGTGCAATTAATAAAAATGACGGTTTTATGAATGTGTTTTTTATTTTAATGATGAAATATAAAAAAATATTTTTCCTTATACATAATTTGAATGTAAATTTGAATACAAAAGTGTTCAAACCGTGTTTTAGATGCTCAAACCGACCCGATATTTTTATTTTTTAACCGAACCTGAACCGTTATTTTATTCTAACCTGAACCTGAATCGATATTCGTTTCGATTCGGATCCCTGTAAAGTTGTCGTTTTATAGTATTGAAAGGATTATTGAAATAAGTTTTAAAACTGTGTCATCAGGAATGCTATTTGGAATATAAATAAGAACGAGATGGGCAGAAATTTCTATGCCTCCAGCGCCAACCCTTAATTGGAGTCGTGACAGGAATGAGGAAAGAGATTCCTTAATATGTGATGCAAATATTTTTAAAACAGCAACAAGTGGAAGGATCCCTCCATTTTTTTAAAGCCATTAGACGAGCACTGAAAAGAATAGGAATGATGGATTCTGATGAAGATGGCACAAATGCCATCTAGACCTCCAGAAGTCTTTTTTAAAATTTTCAACAGCTTTGTTTCGTCGATGTTAATTTCAGGAGCAATATAATTGTTTTGGTTTGAATGGACAAAATCAGATTCACCTAGAGTGGACTCGTTATATGAAGGAGTCTTCAGAAGTCATATAGCAAAGGACCGAGTTTATGTTGATGCTATTTTATTAGAAACTATTTTTGCCTATGGACAATAGGAAGTGATGTAGATTGGTGAGTGTGGAGACTGTATAATATCTGGAATGAAGAGGGATATTGAAAATGTATTTGAATAATAGGATATTTTTATTGCTTGGTATTTTAAAGGTTAATTGGTAAAGCTTGGTATATTTTTAATTTAATTATTTATTAACTGAATTTTAATTTAATATATCATTCACTGGAATTATATAAACATTTTTTTAATTTATATTCACCTTAAATTTAATAACATTATATGGAATTTAAAAAATATAATATTAAAAATAAAGGCCTTATTAAACCACATGACTAATTTTAATTTCCATTGGTTTAATGGATGTGGAACACTATAATACTAAAAAAAAATGCATACGACATCAAACAATATAATAATGTGTATAAATTGATTATTTTTTCAATTTTTTATGATGACATAGTAGGAGATATAGTTCTGAATAAATGATTTATCAAAAAAAATCAATTTTGGTAAAAAGTGCACATAGACCACTATAATACTCACACGACGATGTTAGAAAGTTTCTTAAAAAAGAAAAAAAGGTATATGGTACAAACTAATAAAAGCAAATTAATGAAATTTAATATGTATCTGATAAACTAATTTTTTTAATGATATTTAGTTCAAATAAAATAACAATTACTGTAATTTAATATTTTTCATTTTTATAATATCTATATACTATTCTTAGCCTTTAAAAATTATGATATTTCCGTTAGCAAGAATTTTTTTTATTTATGTCAAGGAGATGCAATGCCGAAATAAAAATTAAAAACGTGACATAAAATATAATATAACCTCAAACGTCGTTTCTTAGTGCATTTAGTGTCTAAGATCTTTTTGTTGCTATTCAATCCCATTGACCTAAATTTATAAACGATACTCATTTTATTAATCATAATATGATATTTATACTACATTATAAACTCATCAGCATTACATAAGGAAACGCATATAATATTAATTTTTTAATAAAAGGTGTAGGCAAAATTGATTAACGCAAAAGTCTTAGCTGTTAATTCTTAATTTTTTTTAAAATATAATTTTTAAAAAGGAAATGGGTAAAGTAAAAAAAAAAACTAATTTTAAAAAATTGCAACAGGATTTTAATGGTTGAAAACTATAAATGGTTAAATTTCAATAAATATATAATATAATTTTTAACTTTTTATTCAATTGAATGTTCTTAATATTCTGAATGGAGGTATCAAGACCGTTATTTAAAACACATTGTGGCTTAGTATTGTTCACAAAGTCTTTGATTAATTCATAATAAAAATCATGGTCATCAAATATATCCTCATTGGTATCGAGAGTTGTGAGAGGTGTAACATTCATTATTGATTTCTAAAAAAAAAAATTCCCCTTACATAAAATTGGAAATGAATCAGTATTATAAACTGGAGAAATACAGGCCCAGACCAGAGTCCGGTCTGAGTATATGGGCTAGGGCGTATAAAAAAATTTAAATAAACCTGGGGCAGGCTTGGCCTGAAATTATTTTTTCCATAAACACAGGCCGGGCCAAAAATATAAAACCTAGGCCAGGCGAATATTACAAAACTCAACTATTATCCTATATCATAAAAAAATATATAATATATATTCTAAAATTGTATCATGAATGATATATCGCATTAACTTTTCATTAAGGCTGTACCGATTATAGTTGGGTAATGGCGAAATATCGGCAAATTCGGCTCAACAGGCGCTTACCGGAGAAAAGCCTTTAACATTAAGGCGTTTTAATTTATATTAGTTTCTTGCAAATTTGAATTGCTATCTTTTTAAGAAAAACCACAAGGCCAAAGTGATAGATATCGGCTAACTTGGTGGTTTCGCCGATTTTTTAGCCGGTTAAAAATTGGCTTAAACGGCTAAAAATTAATAATTACCCAACTATAGTGCCGATCCACAAATTTTTCACTGATCTAATCCAATATTAGTACAAAACCAATCCGATAATTAAAATTGATTTTATTTACCATTGAATATATGCAATGAGTTAATATTTTCTATTTAAAAAAAAATTTTCACGAATTATTAAGTGTATTAAGTTTTTTTATTCTCAAAAAGTTAATTATCTCATTTAAATGTGGGCAATGCTAATGGCTGAATGTTGTGTTGTTAAATGGCTCAATTTCGCTGATTTTTAAAAACGCCTATCAAGGCTTTAGCCAAGATATTATTACCAAGCCTTAAAATTTTAACAATTTATGTCCAAACCTTTCTGCTAACTGTAGGCAAAATCTCAAAGTATGAATAATTTACAATTGGCTAAAATTTTGAATTAACTGTTTAAAAACATTAGTTTAATGTAACTCTTTAGATATTTTAAAATCGTTTTCTTGTTGCAGATATAACAAAAAAATAAAATTTTTAACTACTCTATCTTTTAAAATAATTCAATCTTTTTAAACATTACAAATAAATTGAATTTTGGTTTCTTTAACGAATTTATTATTATGAAATAATGAATAAATAAAAGATATTAATTATATATACAACATAATGTAACCAACAACAATGAAAATATAGGATCAGTTTTTTTGAAAATACCACCCTGACACAATATTTTAAAAAATGATAAATATGCGCCAATTAATTTAATCGTTTCTGACCTATTGTCGATCGAAATGTTTTAACTTGCTTTAATACTGAAAATTATATTTCATATGAGGAGGAATTAAAGGGTATAGTTAATGCAATTTTAAGGCCTGATCTGGTATAATATTAAATCAGCAACCCTTTATTTTAAAACCGTTTATATTTATTGTTCGATAATACTTAAATAACATAAAAGAAAAGTAAAATAGTTTTTAAAATATTCACTATTTATAATAATTTTTATTTATAGTCATATCACACAATTTTAATTTACCCTTATCTACTCTACTATATTAGATAAATAAAATAGTTATTAATTGAAGAGACTAATATAATTTCTATTTTTAATCAAAAAATAAAGTTATAAAAGAAAAAGTTATACCAACCACATGATTTTATGTTCTTAAATACTCTACTGTACTAGGTAAATAAAATAATAGTTTTTAATCCAGAGACTAATTATTATAATTTTTATTCTTAGCCAAACAAACACAAAACATTATAAATAAAATCATTTTGTCAAAAATGAACACAAATGTTCTATTTCTTTGGTATTAAATTAAAGATAATATTCTTTTAAGAATAGAAGAAAATTATTTAAAAAGTTATTAAATGATTCCATATTAGATGAGATGAATCATAAATTGAAGAATTAGGATAATTTTAAAACCCATGAAAAATTTTTTTTTAAACTGAGCTTTAAAAAACATTATTCAGGTCAATCCAATTATTTGACCCAGACTGGGCCATAAAATTTGTACCTCTGCACCTAACTCTTTATTTTTTAATTTAATTGGATAATATAAAAACCAGCAAAATTTAAAAAAAAACATAATTTGTTTTAACATTTAATTGCCTTTCATTATAAGGCATAAAATAGTAGTTTGTGATATAAATAATGAGTATTCACTTGACAAGTTTGTTCATCTAAATTTGGGATAACTCTTCTAACTTTTGTCCGCTGTAACAAATTTCCATCAGTGTCATCTAAAATCTTATAAGTTATAGTAATAAATTATAGGCAAAATGAATTGATGAAAAAATATTCTTTTAAGAGTAAAAAGATATAATCATAGGTGTGAACAAAAATCCTTGATCCCAGAATAAATATAAAAACTTGAACTCATTTCATAATTTTCAAGAAAACCTTGTGCTGTTTAAAATCTTTGATTTATTTTATAATGGTATTTTTTTATAAACCTGAGCTTAAACTCACTTTTCACTATTTTAGGAGGCAGAACTGGAGCCATTATTCTAAAAATATTCGATCTCTTTGTCTATGCTTCGAACAAAGTAGCTTAATAAGCTCAAAAAATTATTTACAAGGTATATTTTTTTCAAATTACAGAAATTATTTTATTGCTTTTATTTGAAGCTAAAAAATGTATTCTACTTTATATATTTGCTCTAATCGGCTATTCATATGGCCTTGATCTATTGATGAATTACTATGTTTAAATTTTTCATCCCAATCAGCAATAATATTATCCCTGCAATAAAATTTTAAAAAAATAATATTTAATTTTTTAAACCTATATGGTTTAAATGAATCATTAAATCCTTTGAACACTATTTGAATTTTTTCACATAAATCTTTTCTACAAATATGATTAATTATTTGATCATAACTATTACTTATTTGAATCAGATGAGCCTTTAAAATCAAACTTAAAGGGGAATAGAAGACTTTGGATTTTTATTAATTTTTTTAAAGAACTTTTGATTTGAATATTTGCTTAATCAAAAGAAAAGCATAATGCAATAATTATCCTTTAAAATATACCTTTATGACGTAAAGCACTAACTTCAGCCGTTTCATTTTTATAATAATTTGAGTATATTAGTACATTATTTAATAATATGCGCGTTTTTACAAGTTTATTCCATAATTCTTAATTATAAATATATTTTATGCTAAAAATAATTCCCAATACCCGAATTCAATTTAATTCCATTTGATTTCTCAAGTTCACTTGATATATGGTCATTAATGAGGTTCATAATAGGATGTTATTATGCTACTAATAAACATGGTAGGATCAGGTTACACAATGACTTGTTTAAGGATACTTATTAGTAGTATTGGTATAAAGGTAGATTCGTGATAATTTTTAAAAACGGACTGCTAAGGTTATAACCAAAATAAAATTATCTAAGCCTGGAGATTTTGCTCATAGATGGCAGAAAGGTTTGGACATTTACAGAAACAGATCTCAAGGGTTATATAATAGTATTTTGAATAAAATCTCAATCGGGTCATTTTTAAAAAATTGACCCAAATCAGGCTTTTTATTCAACGTGGGCGTGGTTGAGCCAGTTAAAAATATTTTTTAAACAGGGCTCGACCCATAATAACAATGCCCTCTTAGTTTTTAATGGTGAGATCTTGCATCTACACACATAATATTTTATAAAATGATAAGCGCCAAGTATGAAAATGATATTTAAATTATAAATAATTTGTTTTATTTTAAAATATAATTTACTTTTTCCTTTTTATATTTTAATAAGTGTTCCTTAAGGAGGCCAAAATAATTTTGTATTTTGTTATTTTTATCTTACAAATGGAGTTCAATTATTTTCTAACAGTTTAACTTAAATTATTTTTATATCGTAAATATGAAACGACTAAATCTTTCTAGTTTATTTTAAATTTTTAAATTGTTTCATTTTATTGTTATAAAATAACTGTTATTAAACAGTAGCGTAACTAAGGGGGAGGGGGCAGGGGCTCGAGCCCCCTGAAAAATTTGAATAGCCTCCTGAAGCAAAAGATTTTTTAAAATGGAATCCCCTTGAACTAAAAAAATATTTTTTTGATTGCCTGAACGTTTTATAATTCTATTAAGTAATTTATAAATTTAATTTTATTATTTAAAAATTAATACTCTAAATTTTTATTAAATGAATACTATTTTAAATATTAGATTAGATTAATACATAAAAATTATATTTTCACAATGTCAGCTTGCAATCCATAGGCGTAGCTGGGGGGGGGGCAAAGGAAACCCCCCCCCCCATCAGAAATTTATCACATTTTGTAAATATCATTTTAAGCTAATAAAAAATATCCCTCTTAGTCCTCCCCCCACCCCCTGACCCCAAAATATATATGCATGTATCTTAAACAATAATTTGAAAGAACGAATGTAAAAGTTGATATTTTTTTTATAAAACTATTCATCATAATTTATAAATTTTTGAAAAAGTGAACCAAAAATGTTTTTTTAAGAAATGGAATATAAGCCAAAGATAAGTCTTAAGACAAAAGTGAAATTAATTTAAAGTGAGTAATTTTAATTTATTTATCTTAATAAAAGTAAAATATACTATAAAACTATTGATAAAATTAAATCGTAAATTAAATAAAAAAATTAAAGCTTAATACAAACAGTGGAATATTAATGTCGTATATTTACAGTATATCTAATTTTATCATTTATCATATGGCAACAGCGTCTACATGAGCGGGTAGGGTAGGAACAGTTTGCATCCTATTTTTTTGAGGTGGTAAGGGGGTATGGGGGTAAAATAAATTTTTTGGTGGGTTATCTATTAAATTTTGAGAATAGGACAAAATATATTGCTGTAAAAATTAATACTTTTATTATAGTATTATTATAATACAATTTATCGACTAAATCTATATATTGCAAACAATCATACACATTGTTTTCCAAATAAACTATCCTTTTAAATGTAATTTATAAGGTTTAGATATTTCAGCAAGCTCATAATGCCATAATAATTAATTCATTGTAAATAATGGAGGTTTTAATTGAATTTATTATCTAAAAAATTCACAAAATATCGATAGTTGGTAGTAGAGATAGATTAATTTAAGTTATCCTTTATAAATTCTTTGAAAAGAGTATCAATAAATAAATAGGTGAAAATAACGATAAAGAGACACCGTTGCCGAAGGCGGCTAGGATTTTTTATGGGGGTAGGCAAAGGTTTTTGAAGGGGGTTTGCATCCAGTGAAAATCCTGTCATGTAAACGCTGTATGCAATGAGGCAATCAAGTAATTTTTAACAATATGGCGAATTATATATTTTACAGAAAACTATAAAATATTGATAAGGACATCAGAAAATATCGTTTAAAGACATTGTGGGATAAATAATATGAAGATTAATTTTTAATATCCTTTTTTATTTAAAATAAATAGATGGCGTTAAATAATTAAATGCAAATTGTTGCTATATTTATTATTAAAAGCATTGATTAGTAAAATTTGTTAAAATATTAACTGTAATATATTCTCTATCTGTCAAATATGTCTGTAAAAGTGGAATTTTACTTAGTATTTTGTAACTAATTCTATATAATAGAGGAATATCATCTATATTTCTACTTACTTTTTATAAATAAATTTCTTATACTTGTTTGGAATAAATTATTACCATGCTTTTATATTAATGTATATACAAGTAATTTATAATAGTTTATATAAACTAATAAAAATATATTTCATATTTGTTCCAGGCTTATTAAAATTAACCTCATATCTTGTAAAAATATTTTATGACTATATATAGACTTAGGTAACCCGGCCGAAGGCCGGGCAAAAGCGGGCCGAACTGCCTAAAATGGGGTCTGGGGGGAAGCCCCCATTAATTTTTTAACACCCCCCCCCTTAGGAAAATCCTGGCTACGCCTATGTTGCAATCAAATTATGTGTTAAAAATAGAATATTAATATCACTCACTAAATATTAATTTGGCATTAATAGTTGAAGCTTAAGTGACTATTATCATTTACCTGATACGTGATATATAGCTAACGTTGAGTATCAACAGAGCTACGCTAGGTTTTCCTCATTCCATCTAATTGGAAACAAAGTTAATTTGGGTATTTAAAAATAAAATATGAGGAGCCCTCCACACGTTTGTGGGCAAGCCGCACGTACTTGTACGCTTAACATTCCGAAGAAGTTGCAGACGTCCATAGGCTTAGAAACAAAAGAAGCGGGACAAAAAAAGAGCCTATGCCCAAGAACTGCAGTTTAAGTTAATTACTATAAGGGTGGGTTATGTTTTAGTTTAGATTTTTATAGAAATTAAGATGAAATAAAGTACATACCAATCCAGCTTGCTATCCAAATTTAGAAAACGTCCCTTAGTTGATTTTGGTGATTAAATATTATTTCATTTAAAATATCTACCCTTTATCCTAAAGAGTTTTTTAATGGACTTTTTGCAGTTATTTAATTTAATAAATTGTTTCTTATATAATTTAACTCCATTATATCTTTTATGGTCTTATAGTACCAGAGGGATTTGTATTTTGTATATTCATTTTTATTATAGGTGTAAAGCCAAGTAATAGCATCATGAACAAGATTTTGATCAGAGTTTCTTATGATATGGGCCAGGAATTGAATACGGCGTTTCCTCAGGGTGATGTGTATCGGAGTATGCTTAGATGCTCTCCATAAATTATTGTTTGACATAACCTTCGGATAAAAAATTCCATTTATGATTCTAAGGCAGTTATTTATAAAGGATTGGAGTCTCCTATTTTCTGTTTTATTAAATTCCCATAAGTCCCCTCCAAAAAGTAATATGGGGATGATTGTAGAATTGAAGATTCTAAATCTGGTGTGAATAGAGATCTCCTTCGTCTTCCATAACTTCATATACTTGTGAAATGCCCCTTTTGCCTTTTGTATTTAGGTTTTCATCTCTTCTTTACAACAGCCCTTGTTATCCAAAAGTACGCCTAGGATTTTATTTTTCCTACTACCTTAATGATATTGCCATCAATTATAATATTTGGATTCTGGGCAGCACTCGGAGAAGGAAGAATAACTGTTTTATTAAAATTGATTTTTAAACCCATCTTTAGACTTAAGTTTACTAATAGTTGTAATATATTTTTCGTTTCTTTAATACTTAAGGATACTACAGCGATGTCATCTGCGTAAGATATTATTCTGTTCTCTAGATGTAATTTTGAGTTGGAGCTTAGATCCATTAAACTTACAGCTCCTGAAACTTCTTTAATAATTTATGCATTATAATATTGAACAGTAAAGTGAAAGTACGCATCCTTGTTTTATGCCTTTCTTTATCTTAAAAGGGGGGGGGGATATTTTATTGTTAATTTTTATACAGCCGGTGAGATTCGTATAATGATTTTTTATTATGTGGATTATGTTTGATTCAATCTCGCATTCCGACAATGTCTTCCAAAGAGCATCGTGATTTACATTGCCAAACGCTCTACTAAAATCAACGAAAGTGAAGTAGGCGGGAATTGTATTTCCAACATTTTTATATTATTATCCTTAGTGCTAAAATTGGTTCTAGAATATTTTTCTTTGGCCTGTAGGCACAAATATATTTCAGAAGTAATGTTGGCCGAGATGATATAATTCTGTTCTTTATCAGCACCATGAAAACTTTAGATACAGTAGATGTTAGGGCAATAGCCCGATAATCTTTGAAGCTTTTTGGGTCTAGTCTTGGGGAAATTACACAATAAAGATATATTCCATTCTTTAGGAGTTTCACCACTATCCCAGATTTTCTTTAAGAGGGGTAATAGATAAGAGGATATAGTGTTTGATGCACTTTTTAGATGTTCAACAGTTATTCCGTCAAGCCCAGGAGCTTTATTATTACGTAGCTTAGTGATAGCTTTCTTAATTTTATCGGTGGAAAAACCAGACGTAGGCGGGATTGAGCGTATGCTTGTGCTTGTTTGGCAGAAGGCTTTTCTTGAGTCAAAGATCTTCATAGATTATTATATAACCCTAATTAAATAAATATAATCATTTATTAATTGAAAACCAACAAATATAATATTGTAATTAGCCGAGTTCAAAATGACTAATCAAATGTATATTTATTTTTAAATTTAATTATCATACCTATTCCTAAAAATATATTTTTCAAGGTCCAAATAAGTATAAGAGATTTCTTTATAAAAAGTAAGTAAATAGAGATATAGTTTAGAATTCCTCTATTATATACAGATGGTTATAAATTATTAGATAAAATGCCAATTTTATAAACGTATTTGAC